ATTAAAAAACTTAAGTCAAATAAAGTTGCCAACTAAAAAAAATTAATTATTTTGTATAACTTTTTCGCTCATAGTAACCTCGAAGCTAACTGCTTAGCAGATGAAGCACTCATAATGTTAAACACAACGGATAAAATTGTTCAGATATTCCAAGCTTACAATTTTGAAGGGAAAGGAGGTACAGAAAAAAGCAATTTATAAACAATTTTTTTAGGATTGCTGGAGCTATTTAAAACCACTTTCGGCTACTACTCGTGAGTACCATTCTGCATGTACGACTTACATAACAGTTAGTAATTGTATGCTTTGTATGTATTTTTTACATAGAGGACTGCGATTTTTTACCCTTGATAAACTAGCGTTAGCCCGTTTTTCTCAAAATGGTGTTTTCAAAATCGGACCAACATTAGTCGAAAACAGCTAAACCGACTAGTCTCACGTTTTAAAATGAGCTTTTTAAATATATTGTTTACTAACTAAACGAAGATTTTTTTCTCACCGATAAAGATTTATTTATTTTTTGTTTAAACAATTTAAAGCCGAAATTTTGGCCGAAAATCGGTTTTCTTTTTTTTTAGGAACAGACATTTTGTCAAAACACAATAATTTTGCTTATTCCATAATTTTTAATCAATAAATTTAAAAGTTTTCTCATAAAAAAAATAATTTCGGTCTTCTAACGTAAATAATCCTTACTTACATGGATTTACTGGTTTCAAAAAATCGATTTTTTTTTTATTGTCTTATAAAATTTTTCAAACACCTCTAGAATATTGTCCTAAATTTTCAAGTTGATCCGAGAAATAGTTTCGGAGATACAGGCTGGTGAACTTGTGCGCTCGAGGCCAGCTAACCTAAGTGCGAAGTCTCTAAATGGGTTTTTCTCGAAACTGTGTTTTAAGTCGGTTGGCCAAATTTCTCGAGACTACTTAACACTTAACACTCGATTACAACTATTGGAAGAACCAAAAAAAAAATTTAATTTTTTTGCAAAAAATGTTTGCCAAAAATCCATATTTAGTTTTATTTCCTTCATCCAAATTCTAAGTTAATGTTTTAAATAAAACTCGTATTTTTTCACTTTGGATGATTCTGTAAGGAATTATCTTGCCAACGCGGGCGCATCGTTTTTCCAGGGGTGACCGGTAATACCATCGCAATGGCCGAGTTTAACAAACTTTTTTTTCCAAAAATTTCAGAATTTCTTTATTAATAGTGTATGTTTATAACAATAAAAAGAATTCTAATAAAATATTTCATATTCATGAGAAAATTTTTTTTGAGAAAAAACTGTTTTTTAACCGAGGAAACCCATGTAACCCTTTAATAGCACCGAAATAGTACCACGATGCCGACTAATATTGCTACTCCACATTAATGGCCGATGATTATAAAGATAAAGCAATAATTTTAGATAAAAAGATATTTTTCAAATAAAAGCAGAAATCTGAAAAAAATTACAACTTTCTTTTTTTTTTTAGAAACCCTGACTGATAATGTGTCATAATTTCAACTAACATTAACATTTTCAAATTCTGATTTTTTTTTTTTTTTTTTTGAGTGTGTGTGTG